CACCACCCTGTATTCAGGAGGCAAATAGAGGAGACTCTGCAACCAGAGATGCCGAGAGTGGGAACCAAGGAGCTCCCAGGCCCCAACTGCCCCTGCTCTCAAACACCCCATCCCCTGCTCCAGCCCTACACCAACCTGGCTCCCACCTAAGGTGCCATTTCAGAGTCCCCAGTAAGACTTTTCTCTCTGTCTCTCTTTGGTCTAAACTTGCAAGAGACAGTCGAATGAAAAAATTTAAGTGTGGCCTCCGGGACAGACAGCCCGGAAGTGGCATCGTAGCTCTGCTGCTCGCTAGCCGTGCGTCTTGGGCAAGTTACCTTTCTGTGCCTCAGTTTCTTCATCTCTAAAGTGGAGATGAGAATAGAACCTATTTCACAAGAGAGTCACGAAGACCGAACAAATGTCAGCTCATCATGAAAGCCCCCGGTCTCCAGCACATAGTCAGTGCTTGACGGTCTTTGCTGGGTTTTTCCCCTGCTCTCCCGAGTCTCCCAAACCTTCCCCTCAGCCGTAGCTCCCAGGGCCCTTAGCAGACCACACCCCGTGGGATCCTCGCTGCTGGACAGTCTACTCTGCCTCAGCAGACTGAGAGAAGGGCCTAGGACAACAGGGCTGCTTCTGACCTGGGGCCGAGGGTGGGGCTGTGAGGACAGGAGTGTGGATGGCCAAAGTCCCAGCTCCTCCCGAACTCCCTGTGCGACCTCAGCTCATGAACCTGTCTGAGCTTCCAGGACATCTCCACCCCAGGGCTGTGCCCGCAGTCCCGGGGGGGGGCAGGCAGTTTCCTCCTGTCACACCGGAATGGAACGCATAGGCCTCTGGCTTACATTCCCAAATCGTAGGACTTACATGCTGGGACTCGAGCCGCTGACAGCCGCGTATAAAGGGAGGGAGAGGAGAGCGTCTGGGACATGGACGAGCCCCAGGAGAGGAGAATGGGGACCAGGTGCTCAGGTGCTGCCCCGACCACCTGGGTTTATGCTCTCCTTTCCAGCCCAAGCCCGCTGCAGTGACAGTGCGCACCTGAGTAATGGCTGTTTTTAATGAAGCATTTACTAAGTGCCGGGCATGACGCCAGGGGCTCTGCATCACTACTACAGTTCTCTCCATGCCCTGCGGGGGAGACACTAGTCCTCACCAGTTACCAGCGAGGACACCGAGGCTCGGAGCGGTTTGATCCTTTGCTTAAGTCCCAGGGCTGTCGGTCGGGGATCCCAGCCCCACGCGCTCTGAAGCCTCCCCTCCCTGCCGCCCGGTTCTGCCCTCACAGGGAGCAGCCTGGGACACTCGTGACTGGCTCCATCCCTCCTGCATCTGAACAGTTGGCAGAGACATCCCGCCAGCAGCTGGGGAGGAGGGCTGTACAGCAGGACGCGGACAGCCACGGCTCTGCATCTCCTGCTCTCACCCTCCTTCTCACCGACCCGTCCAAGAGGGCAGGTGCCCAGCCCCGTCAGCGCTCATGGGGGGTCCTCCAGGGAGGAAGGAGATGAATGCCTCCGTGGGATGATCAGGAAATCGTCCCCGCCCACGAACCTGACTGAGCCATGGGCTGGGGGGGCACCTCCACACCTTACTGAAGACTCTGCTGGTTTTCATGTAACGGCCATGCTGCAGACACTAACTCTCGGGTCCCTTTGAAGATGAGCAGACCAAGTCTGGGAAAGGGGCTCATGTTTATGCAAGCAGCTGCCAACAGTGCTCCAACTCAGCTGTCCTGACTTCCAGGCCAGGGGCACACACCAGTGCTCACTGAGCAGGCACCACGTGCAGGGGCCGCTCTGGGGACAAGGGACTGGCTGTGACAAAACAGGCTTCTCCAAAGACACTCCAGCCCGGAGCCATGGGGGCCACTTACTCCATGTGCACAGTCCGCATCGCCCTGGATGGGAGGCCCTAAGCTCTGATAAGAAACTGGCTGTCCTTTCTCCTCAGATCCACAGGTCAGGGGTTCAACTCTCAGCCCAAGGACAGAGAGAACTCACCCCGTGTCACCTGCTCTCTCAGGAACCCCGGTGCGCCCATGGCAAGTCCCTCCAGCCCCAGCCGAGCACCGCCGCTGTCTGCCATATCCCCACCTGTCTCCCTCTCACACCCCGCCCCAGCCCCGAAGAGAGGACAAACAGGTCCCCAGCCTTTATGGCACTAACGGCAGTAGGTCAGACCCTACTGCAGCTACTCAGCGTCATCAGAGGATACAAAGACGTGGAGGGCCATGTGTCTCCGAGGCAGGTGTCGTGTTTGTGCAGGATTGCTGCCCACACTACAAGCTTCCTATTCCTTTTGTTCAGAAAGGCGGGCCCCACGCCATCTCCCCATGACCCTGAAGTGCCATGGTGCCATGGTGAGGTCCAAACCCGACTGGACCCAGGGCCAGAGAGACCCCAGACGGCCCGGCTCTCCTGCTTCTTCGCTCTGCAATCTTGCATGAGGGGCTTGATGTTTCTGAGCATGGAGAGAGGAAAACCCTACCTCCCAGGGTCTTCGCCCAGTGCAAACGGACTCGGTTAAGCTCATCATAGGTGCCAAGTGGCTGCACGTAAAGCTTTTGACTCTTGCTCCTCTCTGCTCCACAAGCATTGGTCACGCTCCTTTTTCAAACTAAACACATCGGTTCTAGGCATCTGTGGACCCCTTCGCCTCCATGATGTCCCCAGAGCCTGCTCACCCCACAGCCCCGGTGCCCGGTCAGGCGGCCCATTCTCGGCCAGCACTCAACACGCATTCAGGTCCATTTCTCTTGAAATGCAGTCCCCTAACAGCACCGCTTCTCAGGTGCCTGAGACAAATGAGTTTGTCATGTAAGACAAGCACCAAAAGATGGCACGGCCTCACCTGGAAATCAGTCATTTACGTGTCAGGGAGAAAGACACCGAGAACGTTCACTCTGACCGCTGGCTCCAGTCGGTGAGAGCAGGAAATGCATTTTCCAACCTCAAGTATGGCCGGAAAGGCTTAATATGTGGTGGGGGACACGGAGAAGTGCGTCAAAGCGGGGAGCCCTCAGCAAGGAAGAGTCTTTCCATTAATGGTTCTCTTCCGTTTTACTCAACCGGCCTCCCCAAACCCCCTGCGTTCAACGTGCAGAGGGAAGGAACCACAGACATCAGCTAGCTCACAAGTCGCTGGTTTTTTGTGAAGAAACTGTTGCTCAGAACACTTAAGCGACCCCAAGGGAGTAACTGGACAACTACGAGTGTGTGCACACACGCACACACACACACTCCACCGTTACCTAAGAATGGATGGAAGCAGACCTTTCTGCCCTGTCACTCACATACCTGAAGGCGCGTAGCCCGTCTCTGTCTCTGTGTACCCTCCTCCTGTCATTTGGTGAATGGAAACTCAGGCCCTCCAGCCAACCCTTCCTTCACCAAGACAGGAGCCATCCTGGTACTGGCAGCTAATAAAACCACAGACATGGCACACGCACCCCCTCGTGGCCAAGTG